TAATTTCTTTCTTTATTTCTTCCTTGACCCAGGGACGATTCAGTAGCTGACTGTTCAACTTCCACGCGTTTGTAGGCTTTCTGTTGTTCGAATTGTTATTGAATTCTAACTTTATTCCATGGTGATCCGACAAGACACAGGTGGTTACTAATATTTTTTTGTATCTATGTAAGTTTGCTTTGTTACCGAGTATGTGGTCAATTTTCTAGAAGGTTCCATGAGCTGCAGAGAAGAAGGTATATTCTTTCCTATTTGGGTGGAATGTTCTATAGATATCTGTTAAGTCCATTTGATTCATTACCTCTAGTAATTCTCTTATTTCTCTGTTGAGTTTCTGTCTGATTGACCTGTCCATTGGTGAGAGAGGTGTGTTGAAATCTCCTACTATTAGTTTGTGTGGTTTGATGACTGCCTTGAGTTCTTAGAGTTTTTCTTTTACATTACTGGGTGCTTTTATATTAGGGGCATAGATATTCAGGATTGAGACTTACTCCTGATGAATTGTTCCTGTTATGAGTATGAAATGTCCATCTCCATCTCTTCTGATTGATTTTAGTTTGAAGTCAATTTTGTTAGATATTAGAATGGCCACACCTGCTTGTTTCTTAGGTCCCTTTGCTTGGAAAACCTTTACCCAACCCTTTACTCTGAGTAGATGTCTATCTTTATGGTTGAGGTGTGTTTCTTGTAAACAGCAGTATGTTAGATCCTGTTTTCATATCCAATCTGTTAGTTGTGCCTTTTTATAGGTGAGTTGAGTCCATTAATATTAAGTGACATTAATGACCAGTGGTTGTTGGTTTCAGTTATTATTTGTGTGTGTGTGTGTGTGTGTGTAGTAGAGTTTGTGTGTTTCTCTTCTTTGAGTTGTGGTTGGGAAGGGTCACTAGATGTCTGGATTATTGTAGGCAGTTATGGCAATGTTGGATTCCGTGGGTTGCGATTTTCCTTCTATTACTTTCTGTAAGGCTGGATTTGTGGCTACGAATTGTTTAAATTTATTTTTATCCTGGAATATTTTGTTTTCTCCGTTGATAGTGAACGATAGCTTGGCTGGGTATATTAGTCTGGGTTTGCATCCATGATCTCTTAGTTTCTGCAGTACCTCTATCCAGGACCTTCTGGCTTTCATGGTTTCCATAGAGAAGTCCGGTGTAAGCCTGATAGGTTTACCTTTATAAGTTACTTGACCTTTTTCCTTTGCAGCCTTTAATATTCTTTCTTTAATCTGTATGCTTTGTGTTTTGATTATTATATGGCTAGGGGATGTTTTTTTTTGATCCAGTCTATTCAGTGTTCTATATGCTTCTTGAACCTTCATAGGAATATCATTCTTCAGGTTGGGGAAGTTTTCTTCTATAATTTTGTTGAATAGATTTTCTGGGCCTTTGATCTGCAATTCTTCCCCTTCTTCTACCCCTATTATTCTTAGATTTGTTTTTTTATTGTGTTCCACAATTCCTGAATGTTTTGTGATGAGAATTTGTTGGATTTGCTGTTTTCTTTGATCAGAGCGTTTATTTTCTCTATGGTATCTTCAGAATCAGAGATTCGTTCTTCTATCTCTTGTATTCTATTGGTTATGCTTGATTCTGTAGTCTCCGTTCGTTTACCTAGGTTTTCCATATCCAGCCGGTTCTCGGTTTGTGTTTTCTTCATTGCCTCCATTTCAGTTTTCAATTCTTGAACTGTTTCCTTTACCTGTTTGATTGTTTTTTCTTGTTTTCCCAGGGTATCATTCATGGATTTACTCATTTCTTCAAACTTTTTGTTATACTTCTCATCCATTTCTTTAAGAGTGTTATTCATATCTTGTTTAAGGGACTCTAATGCTTTCATAATGGCACTTTTTTCCACTTCTTCTGGATTAAGGTGTTAAAGTCCTTCTATTGTAGGGTCATTGGGATCTGGTGTTTTTGTGTTGTTTTTCAGATTGTTGGAATGGGTCTTGCCTTGGCGTCTGCCCATCTCTTCCTTCAAATGTTCTCTATTGGATCTTCTGGTACCGGGTCTGGTTCCCTTGTTGGGCAGGGACTTCACTCACAGAAGGCCTACCTTTCCTCAGGCAGGCTATTGAAACACAGGCACTCCCTCTTTCCAGGTTGTGCCTACAGCCCAGGCCCAGTGCGCAAGGCAGCTGAGCTGGGGAAAGTTTATGGCCCCCCTCCAATGGCTGTCTGCTTGAAGTCAGTGCCCCTTGCTGGTCAGGAATGTCTCTAGACTGACACAGGGCCCACCTGTCCTCAGGCAGGCTTTTAAAACACAGGAGCTGCCTCCTGCCAGGATGCGCCTACAGCCCAGGCCCAGTGCACAATGCAGCTGAGCTGGGGAAATTTTATGGCTCCAGGGGGAAGGGAGAAATATAGGGTGGTGTACCTGGATGGAAGCTGGGATGGAAGGCGGGAAAGCTTAGCAGGGTGCAGCCATCACTGCAGGGTGCCCTGAGAGTCTTGGGGGTTGAGGAAAGCCTGAACTCTTCCTCGCCGGGCTCCTGCCATGGGCCAGAAGCAAACTCACCCCCCCCCCCCGATGGCTCTCTGCTAGAAGTCGGTGCCCATTACTGGTCAGGAATGTCGCTGAGCTGACACCTCATAAATAGAACTTTTACCCATATGAACTAGAGCTCATGCATGCTACCAGTAGAGAAATGTAAACACCAACCCAACTATAAACACTTTAATGTACAGTGGTAATTTTCAGACATGATATACTGGTGTGATAATGACCCAAGTGATTTCGGAGTAATTAACCATGCTCTGAATGGAATTAAGGCCCACTCCATAAGATGGAACCCATGTCTCATACTGCTCCAGTGGCCAAGAATCTGAGACTAGATAGGTCATGTGCCTAAATGAAAATCAAACATTATTGTACTCCCAAACCTAAGTAGAGATATAATGACTTCTAATGATTTCTGCTCTACCCAACATCAATGCCTTGTTCAGCCATCATCAGGGAAGTTTCAAGTTGTACTAAATGAGAACAAACATGTAGATCCACAACCCCATAACTAGGAAATGTGAAGAGAATGATAGACCTTGAGACATCAAGTACTAAATGGAATATCTCCATCAAACTTCTCCACTCAGAGTTCAGGAAATTTTGCAGAAAGATTGCAACATTCATTGGGGATAGAAGGCACTAAGGGAATGATGCCCTGCATACACAATAAGACTGGCTCACATATGAACTCCTAGAGGTGGTGGCAACACACAAAGGGCCTGTAGAGGTCCGATACAGATGGGGGCCTCAGTGTTGAGAAGGGGAGATGGGCTCCATTCCCCCAACCAAGAAGCTATCTCCAGTTGAAAATTGCTCACAAGGAAAAACTTGGTTTTCTCCAACAGCATTTCACTGGATATACAAACCACACTTAAGGGCAGGCCTCATGCCCAGCAGTAGATGTCCAACTCAAATTACTTATTATATTTTTGTGGGTATATTTTTGGCCTTATAATCTGAGTCATTATTAAACATATTTGTCACTTGCCTATATACTGTAGTTTCCAGTTTTGTTGTTTTAAGTATTTTTGTTTGTGTGCATGTGTCTTTGCATATATATGAGCTTCTCATTGCTATATTTTTACTGCTTTTTGTTTGTTTTATTCCAGCCTCTTTTTGTGTTTACTTGAATATTTAGAAAAGGAAATAAGGAAAGTGTGGAGTTGGATATGGGCAGAAGTAATGACATGCCTATAAAGGTACAAGAAGCTTGTAGAACAAATAAGTTAGATCATCAAAGGAAGTTGCCTTGACACATAAAATCAAAACACTAAAAACCCAGAACAAGAAAGGAATATTAAAAGTTGCAAAGGGAAAAGGCCAAGTAACATATAAAGGCAGACCTATGAGAATTACACCCTATCAACAGTTCTTATTGTTTAAAAAAAAAGCTGTTACTTCTAGTGTCACCATTTCTCATCATGGACACCTAAATCTTATCAAAATTAGGAATTATTTATTATCTGGGTAGCTCAGATAATTTATATTTTAAACAAATGTAGTTGCAATGGGGATAAAGCTGACTGAATCACAAGAAGTTGAAACCAACTGCTGCTTCCACATGTAAATATCCATGACCAGACATTCATGAATGACTGAGTATGGCTGCTTCCTGGTTCCTTATAGAGACTAATGGTAGTCCTGGTTTTTAACTGTAGATTATCATCTGCAAACCTGTGTGGAAACAATAGTTGTTTGGATCATATTTAATTGTTGCATAATGAATTATTCCCCTATTGTGTGATCTTTAGAAGGTTTCCACTTTTTCTTTTGAAAGCAATGTTTCACCCTATGGTCGTAGCACACACTTTTTATCCCAGTACTTCGGAGGCAGAGGCAAGAAGATCTCTGTGAGTTCGAGATCAGCCTGGTTTACAAGAGTTAGTTCAGGACAGGCTCCAAATCTACAGAGAAACCTTGTCTTGAAAAACAAAAAAGAAAAAAAAAGAAAAAGAAAATAAGCAAAGTTTCAAAGAACTTTTGTATTACATTTCTATATTACTTTTCAGAAATGCAAATATTTCTATAGAATAAATTGTTACAAATATCATTGAGATAAATTGCAAATATACATCTCTAGTTTGTCTTTTATCTTTTGGCTCTGATCATTTTATGTGAAATGTTTGTTTTATATTGTATAATTTAATGCATTGTACTTTTGAAAATATGGAGACATAAAATGATGTCTTAATTTAATAATTTATCTTGCCTGTTTAAAACTTAATCTATAAGATCTTCATATTTAATTCTTTTATCAAGTTTATATTGAGTAAATTAGCTGGAAGTGTCTCATGCTTTCGAAACACAGGATGGAAACTGTTACTCTAGGTTTCCAATTTTGAGAAATGATTCAAATGATTCTAGAATGTGCAAGAGAGGTTTCTATTTCATGATATTAGTGCAAGCATTTGATAAAATAAAAGTGTGCATCTTAGTCATGTGGGCTGATGTTTTTGAACAGTTAAGCTTCCTTAAGTGGGTATCATGTCAATCTAAATTTAAGTTGTGCTATTTTTGTATTTCCTAACACCTTCTTTTAATTGGTGGAGATCTGATGAAGCCACAGCTGTGAAAAGTCTCCTGCAGAGTCTCCTTATGTCAGGGCTGTAGCTGCATATGCACCTGCAGTTTGGAGACAGACTGCATGCTGGTTCGGAGCACTGTGCACTCACAGCACAGAGGTAGGTGCCTGAGTCCTCCAGCTGGGCATCCCTGATGTGCAGGGTACTGTAGCGCTCCTTGGAGTTAAATGTTGAATTTAACCTCCCATGCTCCTTTGTTCCAGGATTCAGGTAGAAAAGATTGATGATGCTGCCTCTGGAATTCTGCCGGAACCACTGCACATTGGTCATGGTTGTGGAAAAATTGCATGACAGAGTAGAACTTTTTCCCTCATGGAGACTCAGGGCTGAAGGATTCTGTTCCACCTCAACTCCTCTCACCCCTGCTTGGAAACAGAAAAGCAAATCAGAATCAATGAAGGGTTTTCACCCACACCTTTCAAATATCTCAGGAGACACCATGGGGATGACCGTACAGGGGCTTTGGGTTGGCTCACTCCTCCTCCATTACTGCCATCTCTAGAGAATCCCTAAAACAACTTAGGGGAGCACAACTCACAGCAAATCTGCACACAGAGAATCCCCAGCACAGTTCCCAGTTTCCTCTCCATGGTCCCTGTCCAGTTGCTTGGGTGTCCTCTCTCTATCTGTGTGGGTGTCAAGTCTTCTGTCTAAACACACTTGTGCTTACATACCACAGATTCTCTCTGAAACACTTCCTCATTTATCTGTAAAAGAAACCCCACCCACCTCCATCTCAAGACTCTGCATGGTTATTGCTGCACAAACTGTGGAGGACAATGATTTAGAGCCCAGGACACTAGATTTATAATGTAACACTTCTTATAAGAGGAATTTGGGGGGAAATGGTGAGGAGGGGAATTCTTTAATGCCGAATACTGGCATGAAAACTAATAGTTCCAGTGGTTTAAGCAGAGCCTTGCAGAATTCTAGTAAGATTTTTTTTGATCTTCATTTTGTGAAACAATTTCATGCAATGTATTCTCGTCATGTCTCCCAATGGCCAACTCCTCCCAGATCTTTCCTGCCTCCTCATCCACCCAAAGATATGCCCTTTCTCTTTTTCCCTCTCCCTCTCTTTAGAAAGGAAATAGGCAGTCAAATAAGCAACCAGAATTTAAAAATAAACAAAGAATAAACATACACACAAACCCATAAAACAAAAAACAGGTAAGCATAAAATATAAACAAAAGTCCTATAAGACCAATAAAAAAATAAATAAAAACCGACAAAGCAGTATGATACAAAAACATCATTGGGTTCATTCTGTGTGGCCATCTCTGATAGGCATGGGACCACACTTCATTGTATTTAATGTACCCAGTGAGAAAGGGCTGGCACCTTGAATCACACAGTGGGACAAATCGGCATGCAATGCACTACAAGGAATAAAAAGAATTTCTTGAAGTTATCAGATCATCGTGTGCATAGAAAATGTTCCCAAAGACAGTTTTATTGGTTTTAAGAAAAATGAAGCATGCCCGTGTTTTTGCCATGATTTATTTTCCATCTCTTGCCTTCTGCTCAGATCTTTCCAGCAATTATGCAGCAAAACTCACCTGATTCTTATCAGACTGTGAATTTATGTTCAAGTTCAGCGAGACCCCTATTCTTTTACATTTAAAGGGGGATATGATATAGATATGAATAATTTGCATTGGTATGTATCTTGGTTTATTGATACAAATTTAAGGTCAATTTTGTTATGTGTATATTTCTGCTCTTGATTGAGGTATTGTGATTGTGTAGTTCATTTAAAATGTAATGTGTAATTAAGAAATATAGGTTAATAGATAATCATCTATAATAGTCAAGTTTGTAGTCATGCTAGTTAGATTTTCTAGATGTATAGAGATATATTTCATTTAGTTAGGCATTCTTCAAATCTTTCAGAGTTCTTCAGAATATGGCATTTAAAATTGTTTAATAACTTAGGACTTTTCATGACAATAAGACACATCTGTTCCTTGCAGCACCAAGCTACTTCAAGAGGATGATGGGCATTGAGGAGACTGCTTATGGAGTTGGTTAGCCATTTGGCCAAAAAACTGCTCTTGCCTGGACTGTTGCATAAACTGAACATGAAGAGCCCACAGAGAGATGATTGCTAAACTTTCCTAAAGATGAGATGATCCTTTGGGTTTTCTGCTTCATGAAAGAGTCTGCCAGACATTCTGTTGGACACAGAAGAAAGTGACTGGCAAACTGCCAATGTAGGCGGACCTATCTTTGAAATTTCTTGCTTCATGGAAAAATCTACTGGATACTATGGGCCTGTAGGCTAAAGAGGGATGTCCCAACATTACAGAAAAACTTTGGGTGACTTTCTAGGCAGCGAGATGTGTCTCATTGTCATGAAATTGATAAGTTATTAAAACATTTAAAATGCCATGTGTCAGATTTGAAGAATACCCAACTAACTGAATTATATCTCTATATATCTAGAAAATCTAACTAACATGACTACAAGCTTGACTATTATAGATGATTACCTATTAACCTATTTTTCTTAATTATACATTACATTTTTAAATGAGCTACACAATCACAATACCTTAATCAAGATAAGAAATACATACACATATAACAAAATTGACCTTAAATTTGTATCAATAAACCAAGATCCATACATTATCACTTTTTCATACCTTTTATTTACCAGTTTTTTCTTAAATATTTCTTCCTTTTCTTTCTAGCTTAGATAGATAGATAGATGGATGGATAGATAGATAGATAGATAGATAGATAGATAGATAATTAGGGAGATAGATATCATGTAAATATTATGTATGATATAAAGGAAATTGGAATAATTTCTAATTTTTTGAATATAGGAACATTTTTAAAAATGAAATTAAAAAATAAAAGCAGTGGATATGTTTCCTCTCGAATGTTCAACCTCATAATGTCCAGTAAAATTTTATTTTGCTTACATATTTTCAGAGATTTGTTTTTAAAATAGATTGATAAACATGTAAGATCCAGTGAACAGGCACTAGATATCTATGGTTTTATATATAATGACTGAGTTATAAAGGTTTGTTGAACTCCACACCATCACCTCTATTCCTTGCTTTATGAGTGGATTGTCTTATGTCTCTTCTGGGATCTTCAAACCGAGATGGATGAAGGGTGCATATGGGAGCAGGGAAGAAGATATCTACATTAAGGGAGCCATTTTAGGGTTGGCAAGAGACGTGGCTCTAGAGGGGATCCCAGGTTTCCACGGGGATATCCCCAGCCAGGTCCTTGGGCAGCAGAGTAGAGGTTTCCTGAACTGGCCTTGCCCCACTATCACACTGATGATTATCTCAAGTATCATCATAGTATCTTTGTCTGACGACAGATGGAAATAGAGACAGAGACCCTCATCAGCGCAACGGACTGAGCCCCCAAGGTCCAGTTGAAGAGCAGAAGGAGGGAGAACATGAGCAAGGAAGTCTGGACCTTGAGGGGTTTGTCCCCCCACTTAGTCAGTGTGCCTGTTCTAATGGGAGATCACCAAATCCAGCTGGACCTAGATTGAATGAGCATACAATCAAACCAGACTCTCTGAATGTGACTGAAAATGGGGGCTGACTGAGAAGCCATTGATAATGGCACTGGAACTTGTTTCTACTGCATGTACTGGCTTTTGGGATCCTAGTCTATTTGGATGCAAAGCTTCCTATTCCTGGATGTAGCGAGGAGGGCCTTGGACTTCCCACAGGGCAAGTTTTCCTGCCCTCTCTTAAGGAGGGAGAGGGAGGGAGGAGGGTGAGTGGGGGAGCAGGAGAGGAATGGGAGAAGGGGAGGAAGTGTAAATTTTTGAATGGAAAAATAAGAAAAAAAGAAAACATAATTTCTAGAAACCCTTCATTGCCCCCTAGTGGAAGGACACCACCACGAAATGTGACTTCAAACCACTTCCACAATTTTTAAAATCATTTTATGTTATTTTATATTACTTTATAAATATTACCAATCAAAAACTCCACTTTCCCCCTTCCCCCCACATTCTTCCTCTTCCCTCCACCCCCTCCACCACCCCCTCCAGTCTTAAGAGAGAGCAGGGAACCCTGCCCTGTGGGAATTCCAAGGCCCTTCCCCGCTACATCCAGGCCTAGGAAGGTGTGCATCAAAGAGAATAGAATCCCTAAAAAACAGTACATTCAGAAGAGACAAATTCCAGTGTCATTATCATTGGTCCCTTAGTCTGCCCCAATTTTCAACCACATTCAGAGGGTTCAGTTTGATCCCATGCTATTCTTACTAAACTAACCCTTTTCACTCCATCCCTTCCTGGTGAAGAAAATGCAGATGGTCGAAAACATGACTGTCTAGATGTAATTCTCAGAAGAAATAAAAACGGCTAAAAAATTCTCAATATTGCTCATCATTGTTAGCAATTAGGGAATGCAAAAAAAAATAACTTTGAGATTTCTTCTCAACCCAGTCAGATTATCTAGATTCAAAAAAAAAAAACCACACAATAAATAGCTAATAACAAATGCTGGGGAAGTTGTGTTTGGAATAGAAACCCACATTCATTCTCAGAAGAATTCATATTGGTGCAGTTATTTTGGAAACAGGTTTGGGGAATATTCTAAATACTGAAGATAGATCTCCTAAATTTTCAAGCTATGCCATTCTGGGTCTATGTCCAAAGAACTCTATGTCCTAGTCCACAAGTATTTGCTTAGCCGTGGTCTATTGCTAGTTCAATAACTAGGAAATGGAAACAACCTAAAAGTCTTTCAACTGATGAATGGATAATGAAAATGTGGCGCTTATACAGTGTGGAATAACATTTAAAGTAAAGAAGCAGTATGTCATAAACTCTGCATGTAGGTCAATGTAACTAGAAAAATTATTTTAAATGAGTTGACCAAGATCCAAAGAGAAAAATGCCATATATTCAGACACTGAAATCCTAACACCAGTGGAAATGTAGAGATAATAATTTCAAATATTCAAAAGTAAAAAATATAACTCAGAGTAACTACAAAGGCCAGAAAGATACAAAAGGGAACATGTGTTTGGGGGAAGCAGGATAAGCAAAATGTAACGGGAGAAATAGGAAGAATTAAAGGAAAGAAAGCTAAGATAGAAGGAGAGAGTTGAAGGAGGGTGGAATTATAGTAACTGTTTTTAAACCTTTCAAGGAATCATATTAGTATCTATTTAGCTAAAATTGCATAAAAATACATAAGTATAGGTATATGTGTGTGCACATATACATACATAGTTTAAATTAAATGTTTCTGCCTGTGCTAATGATGCTTCTCCTAAGAATCCTAGATATCTTATTTATTTATTTATTTATTTATTTATTTATTAAAAGTTTCCACCTCCTCTCCACCTATCATTTTCCTCTCAGTCCCCCTCCCCCTTCCTCTCCAGTCCTAAGTCAGTCAGGGTTCCCTGCCCCTTGGGAAGTCCAAGGTCCTCCCCTTCCATCCAGGTATAGGAAGGTGAGCATCCAAACAAACCAGGCTCCCACAAAGCCAGTCCATGCAGTAGAATCAAAACCCAGTGTCATTATCCTTGACTTCTCAGTCAGCCCTTGAGTCCATTTTGATCACATGCTCCGTTAGTCCCAGTCCTGCTGGCCTTGGTGAGCTCCCATTGGATCAGTCCCACCATCTCAGTGGGTGGATGCATCCCTCGAGGTCCTGAGTTCCTTGCTCA